ACCGGAGACCTCGCCCACACTGCGTTGGACGGGGGAGGTTGGCGATGCGTCGCGCTTCCGGGTGTGGGGTGCTCGTGCCCTTGTCCGCGATACGTCTGCGGACAAGCTCTCCTCCCGCACGCTTCCCTGTGTCTTCCTTGGCTTTGTCCCTGACGCGCCTGGCTGGCAGTTTTACCACCCCACCTCGCGCCGGGTCTTCGCCTCTCAGGATGTCACCTTTGACGAGTCGGTCCCTTTTTACCGTCTCTTCCCCTACCGCACTGCCCCCCTCCCTCCCCCGCCGCTTTTCCTTGCTCCTGGCCCCCCTCCGGTAGACCCCCTTCCCCCTCAGGGTCCTGCTCCTTCAGGTGTCTCTCAGGTAGACCCTCCTCCCGTCGCTGAGCCTGTCGAGGTCACAGGTGACTCAGGTGCTGCTGCGGGTGGTGCTGCTGGGAGTGCTGAGCCTGGGGGTGCTGAGCCTGGGGGTGCTGGGCCTGGGGGTGCTGGGGCTGCAGGTGCTGGGACTGAGGGTGCTGGAGCTGAGGGTACGGTGCCTGAGAGTACGGAGCCTGGGGGTGCTGCGCCTGGGGGTGCTGAGCCTGCGGGTGCGGGGCCTGGGAGTGCTGGGACTGCGGGTGCTGGAGCTGAGGGTACTGTGCCTGAGAGTTTGCCGCCTGGGGGTGCTGAGCCTGGGGGTGCTGCGACTGGGGGTGCTGAGCCTGCGGGTACTGAGCCTGGGGGTGCTGCTACTGAGCCTACGGAGCCTCGGGTTACTGCGTCTGGGGGTGCTCCGGTTCGGGGTGCTGAGCAGTCTCTCACACCGCAGCAGCTTCGTGACTGGTACGTCCGACGCTTTCGCCGTCCTAGTGGCTCGGCTGGAGTTGGGGGTGCTGGAGCTGCTCGTCCTGGGGGTGCTCGTACTGGGGGTACTGGAGCTGCCGGGACTGGCTGTTCTGGGAGCACTGCGACTGGAGCTGCTGGAGCTGGGGACTCTGGCGCTGGCGGTGCTAGCGGAGTTGGAGCTGCCGACTCTGGGGGTGGCGCTGCTGCTGGTGCTGCGGACCCACCTGGTGGAGCTGCTGCTGGTGCTGAGGAGTCGGACGGTGGAGCTGCTGCTGGAGCTGGGGACCCGGCCGGTGGAGCTGCTGCTGGTGCTGTGGACCCGGACGCTGGAGCTCCTACTGGTGCTGAGGACCCGGCCGCTGGAGTCCCTTCTGCTTCTGGAGACGCTGCGCGGCCGCGACCGTACTTCGTACCGCTCCTTCAGCAGGTTCTTGGGCAGGCTCCTCCTCCTTGTCCTCCTCCCTCCGTAGAGTGTCCTCCGCCTGTCCAGCCGCAGTCACAGTTACCGCCTGCCTCGCCTCTCCCTGCTCCCTCTCCTTATACTGGTCCCACAGGAGGTCTTACAGAGCGTCGTAAGCCTGAGTCTCGTCCTGCGTCGCCTGTTCGTCCTGCTCGCACTGGTAGTCGTGTCCGTCATGAGCGTCCTCCTCCTGTCCCAGGCACTCACTACATGACTCTGCGTCCCTCTACTGCTCCTCGGCGTGTCCCTCTACCGTCTCCTCCTGAGTCCTCTTTGCCTGCCGTTCCGGACCCTGAGTCTGACCGGTATCGCGCTGAGCACCCTACAGTCACGCGTCTCCTCGCTACTGTTGTCACTGACCCTACCTTTGAGTCCTCGGCTGCGTCTGCTCTGGTCGCTGAGTTGGTTGACTTTGCTGCTGCCTGTCGTCTAGACTACGCTGCTAGCCTTGTTGCTGAGTCAGAGTCTGCGTCTGTCTGTCCTCCGTCCGTCGGGGGTGAGTGTGCTCTTGGCACGGACGTCCTTGAGGACAGGCAGGAGGACTTTGACTCTCTTGCGGCTGCTGTACCTCATCTCGTGGCCTGGTTGCTTGCCCCTGAGGGAGACCCGGATGCACTAGACATCCCCACTCCGCGCACTTACGCAGAGGCGATCTCGGGTCCCTACTCCTCTCAGTGGCAGACAGCCATGGACGCAGAGATGGCATCCTGGAAGTCCACAGGCACCTACGTCGACGAGGTTCCCCCTCCTGGGGCGAACATCGTCGATGGCATGTGGATTTTCAGGGTGAAGCGGCCGCCAGGTTCTCCGCCTGTCTTCAAGGCTCGTTACGTTGCTAGAGGCTTCAGTCAGCGTCAGGGGGTCGACTTCTTCCAGACCTTCTCCCCCACCCCGAAGATGACCACTCTTCGGGTTCTGCTGCACGTTGCTGCTCAGCGTGACTACGAGCTTCACTCTCTTGACTTCAGCACAGCGTTCCTGCAGGGCAGCCTGCATGAGGAGATCTGGCTGCGCCGCCCACCTGGCTTTACTGGGTCGTTTCCCCCTGGTACCCAGTGGAGTCTCCGCCGGCCAGTCTACGGTCTCCGCCAGGCGCCACGTGAGTGGCACGACACACTGAGGACTACTCTTGCGGCTCTTGGGTTCGCGCCGTCTACTGCTGACCCGTCGCTGTTTCTGCGCACAGACACGTCGCTGCCGCCGTTCTACATTCTTGTGTACGTCGACGACTTGGTCTTTGCTACTGCTGACACTGAGGCACTCGCTCGTGTGAAGTCGGAGCTGCAGAAGAGACACACCTGCACTGACCTGGGTGAACTGCGTAGCTACCTTGGCTTGCAGATCACCCGGGACAGAGCTCGCCGCACCATCACCCTGACTCAGTCACACATGGTGCAGCAGGTCCTTCAGCGCTTCGGCTTCCAGTTCTCCTCACCACAGGCCACACCTCTGGCTACCAGCCACTCGCTCTCAGCTCCACCTTCGGACGAGTCCGTAGAGCCGAGTGGCCCGTACCCAGAGCTTGTAGGCTGCCTCATGTACCTGATGACTTGCACGCGACCTGACCTCGCGTACCCTCTTAGCATCCTTGCTCGTTACGTTGCGCCTGGGAGACACAGGCGAGAGCACTGGGAGGCTGCTAAGAGGGTGCTGCGTTACCTGTGCAGTACATCAGGCATGGGGCTGGTGCTTGGAGGACGCGACAGAGTTGTCCTCACTGGTCACTCGGACGCCTCTTGGGTGGACGACCTGGCTACGCAGCGGTCGTCACAGGGTTACACCTTCAGCCTTGGCTCAGGTTCTGTCTCGTGGCGGTCCACCCGCTCTTCCTCTGTTCTCGGCTCTAGTTGTGAGGCTGAGATCTACGCCACAGCCATGGCTGCACAGGAGTTACGCTGGCTCACCTACCTGCTGACTGACTTGGGAGAGCGGCCTAGTTCTCCTCCAGTTCTGTACGGTGACAACAAGGCGGCTCTTGCCTTGTGTCAGGAGCACAGACTGGAGCACAGGACGAAGCACATTGCTCTTCGCTACTTTCTTGCTCGAGAGCTTCAGCAGCGCGGTCAGCTTCGGCTTGTGTACGTGGACTCGAAGGCCAACACTGCTGATATCTTCACCAAGGCGCTCCCGCCTAGTGATCATCAGCGGCACTGTACTTCTTTAGGCCTTGTGTCCACGTTTCCTCACTTGCTCACTGCTTGACATTCTTTGTACTGTACTTTATATATATCTTGTTGCTTGCTTGCTAGGTTTTGATCACTGTGTTGCTTGTCTTGTACTATATCTAGCATTGCATGTGAACTGGCCTTGTGGCCTTTGCTTGTGCTCGGAGTGTGGTGACGTTGTGATCCACCCTGGGCTTTGTTTTGCTTTGCTGGACTGGTCTTGTGACCCTTTGTGCTCCCCCACTTTGCCTATGGGGGTGTGTTAAACTGTATTATGCTTGTAGGCTGTAGTGGGGTAGCTAATATGGGGTACAACCCCAACTAGGGTTTCATATTTGTACCCAAACTTCTGTTAGTTCATCCATTCTTGGCTAGTTATTCAGACAAACCCCTACTGGATGGGATGTCCTTAGGGAGGCATCAACCCTAAAAACTATGTGACAAGGTGTTTAGGGTTGATGCTCCCAAATTGAATCCCATCCGAATGGGTTTTAGTTTTTGTATTAGGAACAAAAAATATACTTAGAGTTTCACCCGTCTAGAAGTAATATTCTTAGGGTCATTATGCATCGATCGAACAGTGGACGGTCGAGTTACTGAAAGTTGTCGCGAAACAATTTCGTAATACTACGGACAAAACGGCGCGCGTGATAAAATTTCCCCTGAATCCCTAAAGTGACTCGAGTAGTTACAATTTTCAATTAGGCGTTTCATCTGTGACCAAACGTGATAGCTTTTCGGGGCGAGGTGTGACCATCCGTGATAGCACTGTGATCACCCGCGATAGAAATCTACTGTACTGTGACTGTTCGTGATACCCCCGGGACCAAACGTGATAAAACGGGCATAACTGTGACTTCCCATATAATTTCCCCAGCAAGTTGCCTTGTACATTTTTTTTATCAATGGCCTAGATTTTGTTTAACCATGGCGGAGCTAAATTAAAAAACAGTGTTTGAAACAAATAGTTTATCTTTAATTGCGAGATCTGAATCGTTATAAGCCCCCCCGGTCCATCTTGACAATGAAAGGGGACCTTTCCCACATTTGTTCCTCATACAAAATAAGTTCGGCTACTCGAATTTCGGAAACCCTAGTCGGATCGAGAAATTATACGACACAGCATAGGACCGAAAAGAAAAACCGGTGTAGTTTGCTGCCAAGTCGCAGTTTCGCTTTTTGTAAGCATAAATTTGTGCAAGCTTCCGAAAACCTCAGGTGTCCTCTTTATTAACAGCTGGATTACATTTTAATATTGTGTACAGAACATACACGCGCACGTATGAAGTACCGCGTAAAATATGTACAGTAGCGTCAAATATGCCTTCCACTTTCTAGAAGAATCGCTCAGCTGACCTGACCATACTGTCTGAGCACTTCGCAGAAGGCCGTATTTTCATGACGGTAAGGCGTGGCTTCCATTTCTGTTTGGTGGGGGGAACGAGAAACAAAACAATGCAAGAAGTGAGTGGGGTTGGAAAGGGAGTTCCAGCTACCTCCCCTCATACTTCGACATTCGTACGGTCGCGATTGTAACGGCAATAACATGAGCCATGTCACACGGAGTGCCGATGACTGTCCGACAGGAGGAGGTGGCTGGAGGGACGGTGGGTGGAACTGAGGCAGGAGGAATGGAGTCGTGAGTAGGGCAGTTAGCGGCGAAGCTGAGGCAGCAAGAGGAGGCCATGGCTGCTCTCAAGAAGGAGGTTGACGAAATGGGACGCGTGATGGCGAAATTCGCAGACGCGAACGGTGCACAGGCGAAGGTCGCAAAAGCGGAAGGCGCAGAGCCGACGGGCGCAAATGCGAAGGTCGCAGCGGCGAAAGGGGCGTTGGAGACGGGGAGCAACGGGGAGCCAGCAAACGGAAAGGACGGGGCGGGGAGCGCCGGAAAGGCAGGAGATGGCGACCTCCCGGAGACTCTTGATGGGAAAGAAATTATCGCGATAGTGGAGAACTTTATAACGGAGCACGTAGCTGGATTAAGGGGTGAGCTTGCGTCCCAGGCGGAGGGCTTGCAGCAGCAGTTGGACGCGGTGCGGAGCGAGGCGGCGGACGCGGCGGGCGTGAAGGCGGAGATTGCGCGGGTGCGGGCTGCGGCGGAACGGCAGACGGCGGAGGTGGCGTACGTTCGCGCGATGGCGTCGCACACTGAGGAGCGAACGAACAATTTGGAGGTGGCGGTGGCGGAGGGGAAGAACGCGCAGAAGAAGGTGCGCGCGGAGGAGCGCAGCCAGCCCGAGGGAGGCGCGGGGGCGCAAGCAGGAGCGGAGATGCCCGAGGGGAAGAGGCGGAAGCTGGATGAAGCAGGGAAGGCGGAGGGGGTGACGTCTGCTGCTGCGGGCGGTCGCGCACTTATTGCCAATTGCGGTGCTTCAGATGGAAGGCAGGAGGGAGAAATTAAGGCGTTTCTTCTGGGACTGCAGAAGACAGTAGATGGTTTGCTGCGCAGAGTCGCTAAGGCGGAGGACGGTAATCGCGACAGAGTAAGGTTATGGGAGGTGAGTGCATATCTTTTGAATATATATACAGAGCAATTTTTTTTTCCTTTTTTGTCAATAGAAATTCCTTTTTTTTGTCAATAGCAATTTCTGCCAGCTTGGCAAGAGCCAAGCGTGAGAGGATGCATGTACCACACATGCGAATCCGAGGTGGTTGGAATCTTGACATTGCATATCAGGTACTTATTTGAGGATGCACGTGGCACATACATGTCAGAATCTAGCAGCAGGAATGGATGAACTAACAGGATGCAGGAGTACAAGTAGTAAACCCTAATTGGGTTGTACCCCATATGGGCTACCCCACTACAGCCTAAACAATATGCAGCACATATAGTTTGACACACCCCCATAGGCAAAGTGGGGGAGAACAAGGGGTCACACGACCAGTCAAGAGAAGCAAAACAAGCTCAGGGTGGATCACAACGTCACCACGCATTCCGAGCACAAGCAAAAGGCCACAGGGCCAGTTCACATGCAGAGATATATATGCAGCAATAACAGTACAGTGATGGCTACCTAGCAAGAGCCAGCATGCAGGTATATATATAGATCACAGTACAAGCAGAGACTACAGCAAGTGTGGAAACGTAGGCACAAGGCCCAACAGAGTACAAAAGCGCTGATGATCACCAGACGGAAGTGCCTTGGTGAATATATCAGCAGTGTTGGCCCGAGTGGCCACGTGGCGAAGACGAAGCTGGCCTCGCTGCTGCAACTCTCGAGCCAGGAAGTAACGCAGAGCAATGTGCTTCGTTCTGTGCTCCAGTCTGTGCTCCTCACACAAGGCAATGGCGGCCTTGTTGTCGACGTACAGCACTGGAGGAGAACGAGGCTGCTCTCCCAAGTCAGTCAGCAGGTAGGTGAGCCAGCGTAACTCCTGTGCAGCCATGGCTGTGGCGTAGATCTCAGCCTCACAACTGGAGCTGAGAACTGAAGACGAGCGTGTAGAACGCCACGAAACTGAACCAGAGCCAAGGCTGAAGGTGTAACCCTGTGACGACCGCTGAGTAGCCAGGTCGTCAACCCAAGAAGCGTCTGAGTGCCCAGTGAGGACAACTGGGCTCGTCCCTCCAAGCACTAGCCCCATGCCTGATGTGCTGCACAAGTAGCGCAGTACCCTCTTAGCAGCAGCCATGTGCTCAGGTCGGTGCCGACCAGGAGCCACGTAGCGAGCCAGAAGACCAAGAGGGTATGCGAGGTCAGGTCGAGTGCAAGTCATCAGGTACATGAGGCAGCCGACTAGCTCTGGGTAAGGACCACTCGGCTCTACGGACTCGTCCGAAGGTGGAGCTGAGAGCGTGTGACCTGTAGCCAGAGGAGTGGCCTGTGCTGAAGACCAGGTGAAGCCGAAGCGCTGAAGGACCTGCTGCACCATGTGTGACTGAGTCAAGGTGATGGTGCGACGTGCTCTGTCTCGGGTGATCTGCAAGCCAAGGTAGCTGCGCAGCTCACCCAAGTCTGTGCACGTGTGTCTCTTCTGCAGCTCCGACTTCACGTGGGCGAGAGCCTCAGTGTCAGCAGTGGCAAAAACCAAGTCGTCGACGTACACGAGGATGTAGAACGGCGGCAGGGAAGTGTCGGTGCGCAGAAACAGCGACGGGTCAGCAGTAGAAGGCGCAAACCCAAGAGCCGCAAGCGTAGTCCTCAGTGTGTCGTGCCACTCACGTGGCGCCTGGCGGAGACCGTAGACCGGCCGCCGGAGGCTCCACTGGGTACCAGGAGGGAACGACCCAGTGAAGCCCGGGGGGCGGCGCAGCCAGATCTCCTCGTGCAGGCTATCCTGCAAGAAAGCTGTGCTGAAGTCAAGAGAGTGAAGCTCGTAGTCACGGTGAGCAGCAACGTGCAGCAGCACCCGAAGAGTGGTCATCTTCGGGGTGGGGGAGAAGGTCTGGAAGAAGTCAACTCCCTCTCGCTGACTGAAGCCTCGAGCCACGTAACGCGCCTTGAAGACAGGCGGAGAACCCGGCGGCCGCTTCACCCTGAAAATCCACATGCCACTGACGATGTTCGCCCCAGGTGGGGGAACCTCGTCGACGTAGGTGCCTGTGGACTTCCAGGAAGCCATCTTTGCGTCCATGGCTGCCTGCCACTGAGAGGAGTAGGGACCCTCTATCGCCTCTGCGTAAGAGCGCGGAGTCGGGATGTCTGGTGCATCCGGGTCTCCCTCAGGGGCAAGTAGCGAGGACACAAGATGAGGTAAAGCAGTAGCAAGACACTGGAACTCCTCCTGCCTGTCCTCAAGGACGTCCGTGCTAAGAGCACACTCACCCCCGACGGACGGAGGACAGACAGACTCAGACTCAGCAACAAGACTAGCGGCGTAGTCTAGACGACAGGCAGCAGCAAAGTCAACAAGCTCAGCGACCAAGGCAGACGCAGCAGTAGACTCAAACGACGGGTCAGTGACAACAGTGGCTAGGAGACGCGTGACAGTAGGGTGCTCAGTACGAAACCGGTCAGACTCAGGGTCCGGAACGGCAGGCAGAGAGGACGCAGGGGGAGACGGCAGAGGAACAGGCTGCGGAGCAGAGGAAGGACGACGGACAACAAGGTGTGCGCTGGGGACAGCCGGCTGACGCGCACGAGCGACACGACGAACGGTACGACCAGAACGAACAGGCGAGACAGGACGCGACGCAGGCTCACGACGCGTAGCAGGACTGCCTGTCTGCTCAGTGTAAGGAGAGGGAGCAGGTAGCGGTGAGCCAGTCTGTAACGGAAGACCAGTAGACGACGGGAGAGTAACAACCTGACGAAGAGCAGAGTCAGGCGGCGGCAGAGACGACGGAGACGGCGGAGCGAAGAACAGTCGTGTCGGCGCAGCTGCACCAGTACCGGCAGCTCCAGCAGCTCCAGTGCCTCCAGCAGCTCCAGTACCTCCAACAGCTCCCGTACCTCCAGCAGCTCCAGAAGCTCCAGTCCCAGAGCCGACACCCCCAGTCCCAGGGTCTCCAACCTCTGTGTCTCCAGCAGCAGCACCCCCAGAACCAGCACCTCCAGTCCCAGGGTCTCCAGCCTCAGTGTCTCTAGCACGAGCACCTCCAGAACCAGCGACTCCAGCACCTCCAGTAGACAAAGGACCAGCACCACTCCTAGCTCCAGCAGCGCGACGCTGACGGCGACCGTACCAGTCCTGCAGCTGCTGTGGGGTGAGAGGCACACGTGGACGAAGGCGGCTACTCCAAGGAGACCGCGCAACAGCAGACTCAGAACCCTCAGCGCCCGCACCCCCAACGGCTCCAGAACCTCCGGTGTCAGTACCCTCAGCACCAGTACCTCCAGCGGCTCCAGAACCTCCAGCGCGAGCACCCTCAGCAGCTCCAGAACCTCCAGCTCCAGCGCCACCAGTACTAGGCCCTCCAGCAGCTCCCGAACCTCCAGCGCCAGCACCCTCAGTAGCTCCAGAACCTCCAGCGTCAGTACCGCCAAGCTCAGCACCCCCAGACCCCTCACACTCAGGCTCAGCACCACCAGGCTCCACACCCTCAAGCTCCGCACCCTCAGGCTCAGTACCCCCAGGCTCAGCACCACCAGGCTCCGCACCCCCAGGCTCAGCACCCCCAGAAGTAGCACCCCGAGCAGGACCACCCTCAGTAGGACCTGAGTCACCAGTGACCTCAACCGGCGCAGTAAAGGGAGGAGGGTCTACCTGAGAAACACCTGAAGGAGCAGGACCTGGAGCGGGGAAGGGGTCTACCTGGGGAGCACCTGGAGCGAGGAAGAGCGGCGGGGGGGGGAGCGGGGTAGTGCGGTAGGGGAAGAGACGGTAAAAGGGAACCGACTCGTCGAACGTGACGTCCTGAGACGCAAAGACACGGCGCGAGGTGGGGTGATAAAACTGCCAACCAGGCGCGTCAGGGACAAAGCCAAGGAAGACACAGGGAACAGCGCGGGCGGAGAGCTTGTCCGCGGTGGTATCGCGGACAAAGGCACGAGCACCCCAGACCCGGAAACGCGACGCATCGCCAACCTTCCCCGTCCACAGCAGTGTGGGCGAGGTCTCCGGCAAGGAGACACGGGGCCAGAGGTTGAGCTGATGCGCGGCGTACCGGACCGCAAACGGCCACAGAAAATGGGGGGCAGCCGCATGGATCATGGAGGTACGAGCGACCTCCATGACTAAGCCAATGCGGCGCTCAGCAACCCCATTCTGCTGTGGAGAGGCCGGAAGCGTGAACGACTGGGTGATGCCGTGCTCCGCACAGTAGGCTGCCAAGAGGTCTGAGGAGAACTCACCACCTCTGTCAGAGTGCAGACGGAGGACAGGAAAGTCCCGCCGGAACCGCTCGCGGAGCTGGAGACGAACAGTGCGGATCCAAGGGATCAAAACATCAGGGACGTCCCCCTTGCTCTGCAAGGGGAAGACCGTGGTGTAACGCGTGTAGTCGTCGACGACCAGCAGGAAGTACCGCTCGCGGCCCTGTCCCTGGACGCGGGCTAGGCCCCACACGTCCACTTGGAGCGTCTGCAGTGGAGCCTCTGTGGGAGGAAACAAGGAGGAGTGAGGAGCGGCGCGCTGCCGCCCCTCGACGCAAGGAATGCAGGGCGGCGCAGGCGAGGGAGGGAGGGCAGGCAGAGACCTGGGAAGACCAGAGACCAGGGAGCGAGAGTGCATGCTACGCAGGCGAGGCAAGGAGGGGTGACCAAGGCGGTGGTGCCACAGGAGAGTGTCGTGCGACAAAGCGCGACACTCGCAGGGGGCCGCCTGCTGACCAGACACAGACGCAGACGCAGCTACCTGAGGGGACTCAGTGGTGAGTGTGTACAGACTCGAGCCAGGCGCACGGGTAAACGTGGCCAGGTGTCGGCCCGTCCGAGCACACGTACAGCGGGTCACTCGCTGACTCGCAGGAGTGAACTGGTGAACCCCTCCATCCTGGAGGTCAGCTCCCGCCACCAAGTTCGTAGAGAACGAGGGGAGGTAAAGACCTGACAGGAAGCCAGACGGGACGGCCGGACACGGCAGAACCGTGGAGTAGTGGGCAAGGACTGGGCCCCCGGAGGGGTCCGCCAGGGAGACTGGAACTGGCCGACTGAGCGGCGTGAGTGTGGTGCAGTCGCGAAAGAAGGAGCGGGAAGCTCCTGAGTCAAGGGTGAAGGTGTGCGAGACCGCAG